TGTTAATAGGCAGTGTTTCATGTCTTCTAGTTGTTTTTCTAATGTTAATAAGGCATAGAGAATCAGAAGTAAACTTATTCCATTTGTTGATTATATTGTGACCCAAAATATCAGCAGATGTTACTCCTTTTAAATGAGCATATGCCCCATTTGAGGAATTTTGATGGTAGCAGGATTTCTTTGTGGAAGAATTGACACTCTTAGATTGCTCTGGGTGCTGTCATGAAGCATCGGATGGATGGCACATATGCTCTGTTGAAATTATAATGCCAATTTATAAGGAGGTTTCATACTTCTGCCAAAACTGCTCTGCAGCCTAGTTAAGCTTTCTGCTGTAGAATAGTTTGGCTGGGTTCAGAGTCCCAGCTGTAACCTTCATCTGTAATTCTTGCTTTTTTTTTTTTTTTAAATGCAGGGGGAAAAAAAAAAAAAAGTATTGTTTAATAGATCTTTCTACTTCATTAGTCTATAGTTTACTTCTTTACCTGCAAATCTCAGTGCAATATTAGGGACTAACTTCACTATCTGGTCTAAAAACTAGGGAGCTGATTCATGTTAATGCTAATGTTGTAAGCTAAAGACATGGTATTTATTTCCAGTAATGTAACTGCTGTGACTATGTGCCAGTTAAGGCTAGAATGCATTAGCCTTAAAATCTTGCAAGATGATAAATGCAAAGTGGGTCTTCAAACCATAAAATTGACCATACTGAAGTCAGCAATGTAAGTATTTGAAGTATTGTTTATGCTTATTTGTGGAGTTGTGTCGACTTTCTAGGGCTGGTAGATGTACAAATGACAAAAAAAAAAAAGCTACAGCCTGATCAAAATGCGACTGAAGTCTCAGAATTAGTAATTGAGATGGTATGTATTTAGGTTAGACATATGAAAAATCTCATTCAAGGTAGTTAGTGAAGCGGCCAAACTTACTTATGTATGTGATTTTAACTGTGAAGTTATTTGTTACTATGTTAACAATTTTTGAAATCAATTCGACTGGTTTAAACCCCCCCAAAATGAAGTGCTGTATGTTATTCTACAAATATTAGTTTTCTGGGAGAGTGGAGATTATCAGAAGTGTGTATTTATGCATTAATTAATCCCAAGCAGATTTAAAATCAGATTGTAAGTTAAAGCTGTGAGCAAATATTACATACAACATTACACTTTCAGGTTTTTACCTACAAAATATAACACAAAAGAGAGATAACACTCTTACAAATGACTTGATGTTTCTTCCAAATAGACATATATAAATTCATTTTCTACTTTGGAGGATGGCTAAAATAATTTAAACAATAGCACAGTTGTCGAAAATTAATGCCTGCTCATCAAGGGGTGGTGTTTTCTTAGGCATGCTTTTTAAATACACCATTCTGTAGGAAAGTTTCCTGTAGTGAACTCTATAGGTGTAATTTAACTTACCCCTGCCGTTATTTTCATCCTTAAATATTTTCTTCTGTTGAATAATCAATCATATACCCCTGTTAAACCAAACAAATGAATGTTTAACTCATTCCTAGAAAATAACTCTTTATGCAGAAGGCAGCAATTGGCTTCCTAATTATATTCCATTTCTAACGGGTTTTTTTTTTGAATTTTGGAAGGTTCTCAATAGAACTTAGAAACTGTGGGTAAAGTCCTGGCTGTGGTGAAGTCATTAGAAGTTTTAGTAATTTCAATAGAGTAAAAACTTCATCCTTTATCTTTTAAGTCATGAGCCAAGCAAGTCACTGGGTGCATGTTTTCTCACTTACAGTCCTTGCTCTAATCCAGCCATATGTGCCTGCCTTGCAGGTGTAGTAGTAAAATCTGTTTTCCATGTAAAACCTGTGTTACTAAGTTTAGTTTATATGACTGATGTAAGAAAGCAAGCATGGAATTCAAAACACTTACTAAACAATCTGTAATTTACTACAGTTCTCACATAATTAGTCATTCTTGTATCTGCCAGTTATAGGAAATTTTGTGATCGGTTTTGCCAGTTACTTTTTTTTTTTTGAGAAGCTCAAATAGTTTGTGCTTCAACATCAGGCTTGGCTAAATGCAGCTGAAACAAGTTATTTGAAATTTGTTCCTTTAAGGTATTATATTGTTTTAAGTTGAAAGCACTTCCTGTTTCTTTTCATCAGAAAAAGAAAACTCAGGCCTCTGCTTAAAGGAAAAGAAATGATAATAAGAAATCTGTAGTAAATGGGTATTGCAACCTATTTGGATAATCAAGAAATTATTTTATTCATGGATCAAGCAAAGGAACTAGTAGAAGGCAGAGTTTTACACTGCTATTTTAAAGAAATAAAGATCTTTTTGGATGAATACTATCTGAAACTTTTATAACAGGACAATTTGTGCTGTCTTAAAGGGTGGTGTAGTACAGCGCTGACAGCGAGTAGATCACATTCCATGACAGTCTAAAGAAGATACTCTGTTATGAGTCCGTAAAAGAGAAAGTTAGCATACCATGTTGAGACTCTTCTATGGTAAATCCTCTAGCAAAGGGACCTTTTGTTCCCTACCTGTACTACTTTATGTAAAGCAATTAATTTATTTCCAGTTGGAGAGCCTGCTTCTGAACAGCCTTCATTTTGATGATTTTTTTGTGGGTTTTTTGGTGGTTTTTTTTTTTTAACTCTGTTAAACTTCAGGACTGAAGCTTGATTTAACTTTGAATTGTCTTGTGTGTGTTTGTTGGGTTTTTTTCAATGGTCTAGAAGGTGTGTTCTTTTTGAGTTTGAAAGGACAATTCTGATAATAATGGTGAGTTTTGAGTACCTTGTAGTTCCGATTGCTAGAATTTATTTAGCTCTTGCGCACAGCTGGACAGGCTGTACTGAAGAGCTTACTCTGAAGCGACAGGTGACTTCATGTACTGAAGCTTATGTAAAATCCTTGAGATGCTAGGGACATTCAGTATGTTTAGAAAGGTATTCTCATGCAGAGGATGCTGTCAGGTTTATTTATATATAAATTATTACCAAAGGATGATTAAACATTACCAAAGTCTTATGCAGATCAATAAAATTCAAAGTAAGTGGTCAGGGACTTCACAAAGTTGAATGCCTAATATTATGCACCCAGAATAATGACTAAATTACCTTTTGTTCATTTTTTGTAGGAGGAAATAATAATTAGCATTCTTAACCAACTGGCCCACACAAAAATAAAGGCACTGGCTAGGTGCATCCATAAAAAGTTTAACACGTAATTGTGGCAAAAATTGTCCTAAGGGTTTTTGCTGGTTTTGGCTGGAGTAGAGTTAACTTTCTTCCTAGTAGCTGGTATGGGGCTGTGTTTTGGACTTGTGCAGGAAACAATGCTGATAACTCAGGGATGTTTTAGTTCCTGATGAGCAGTGTTTTAGCTGTCGCTGAGCAGGGCTTACCCAGAGCCAAGGTCTTGTCTGCCTCTCACCCCACCCCACCAGCGAGGGGGCTGGGGGGGCACAAGGAGTTGGGAGGGAACACAGCCAGGACAGCTGACCCCGTTGACCTCAGGGATATCCCACACCGTATGATGTCACGCTCAGCGTATAGAGCTGGGGGAAGGAGGAGGAAGGGGGGGGACATTCAGAGTGATGACGTTTGTCTTCCCAAGTCCCCATCACACGTGATGGAGCCCTGCTTTCCTGGAGATGGCTGAACACCAGCCTGCCCAGGGGAACTGGGGAATGAATTCCTTCTTTTGCTTTGCTTGTGTGCACAGCTTCTGCTTTACCTATTAAACTGTTTTTACCATACAGAATGATCAGCAGTTATAGTGTAAGTCTGTTGGTATGAATTAGAACTACCAGCTGCTTATTTGGCAGCAATGTGTTTAGAGATAGACAGGTTCATGGCTTATTAGAAGTTGTTCAGAAAATAAGCATAGTCCTTTGAATCTAGTATTAGAGGATGTAGAGGGGGAAGCCTTTGCTTTCTGTTGCAGCTGAGCTGTTATAACAAAATTTGAGTTATCTCATGCTGTTTTACAGTAACGTGATAGATGAGTGAAAGGTCTCTGAAAACAGCTGCTGAAAGAGAACTGTCCACCTATTTAGAAGCATAGGATAATTTAGTTTGGAAGGGACCTTCTGAGGTCATCTCATCCAATGTCTTGCTCAAAGCAGGTGTGATTAAATCAGGTTGCTTGGAGACTTTTTGCAACTTAGCATGTAGTTCTGGGCTGGCATAAGCTTCTAGGCTACCACAGTTCTTCCTAAGATGTGTGGGTTGGTTGGTTGTTTTTTTTTTTCCCCTACCTGTAGATTAGTGTTTGTGTGCATGCAGCTGTGTGGAAATCCCATTCAAGGAGTTTATGGGCTGAAAACATCTCATTTTTCTTTGCTCGTTTTTTGGAGAAAGAGGAGTCTTGGTTTTGTCTGTATTGGTTTCTGTTTTGTGCACCACTTGGTCTATGAATATGAGGAGGAATGATGGGAATGAGTGAAGAGGAAGAATACAGGCAAGGCAGTGGCATCCATAAAGCCTCACACCAAATGGTTTCTTTGTACCTCAGTGGAATACAGTCCCAGTGATGTTTGTGGAGGCAGAACTGGCTGACAAACTTTCCTAAACAAAATCAATCATTGTTAACTTGACTTAATTATAATCTCTTTTCTTTCAGATACAGCAAGTATCCTTTCAAGAAGGTGTAAATACAAGATAAACTGGAAAGCAGTGTAATTGATATGGGAAAATAAACATGAAAAAGTCTTTCAGATCACAGTAATTCTTCAGGGATTTGAAAGTAGTTTACTATCTTACTTTTAGAATAAGCTATCAACTTCTAAGCTAAATCAGCTCTCCAAACTAGAGTTCAGAAAGTAAAAGTGTTGTTTAAAAGTTTTCTAGCATGTATCTAAATAGGTATACGTTTTGTAACTTTTACGATACTGTATCGTACTATTTACTCCTCTTGCAGTTGAAATACAGGAAAATCACTCCTCATGATTTTTTTTTTCTTTTTAAATTGACAAAAAGCTGCAAAAGCCCTTAAATTATGAAAATATCATCTTCTTTTCAGGTGAAAGTTATGTATGTGCATCCAATGAACCGTATCGCAAAGTTGATTACACCAAGAATGTCAATCCAAACTGGTGTGTGAACATAAGGACTGGGTCCACTCGATCCTTGACGTCTTTGACATCCACAAAGAGTGAAGTGAAGGAGAGTAAAGATTTCATTAAGCCCAAATTAGTGACTGTAATTAGGAGTGGAGTAAAACCACGGAAAGCTGTGAGAATTCTGCTGAATAAGAAGACTGCTCACTCCTTCGAACAGGTCTTGACTGACATCACAGAAGCCATTAAGTTAGATTCCGGTGTAGTCAAGAGACTTTGTACACTGGATGGAAAGCAGGTAAGAGAATAAATTGCTGTGACCATCTAATAATTATGAGTTAATCTAAGCTTTTTTGTTTTCATAACTTGAATTCTTGTTACTGTGTATCCTTTAACCTGCTTCTGAATAAGGACAGCTTAATAAATGACAACTTCTTAAATTTATATTAAAATGTTAATATCTACAAAAAATTAAAATTGTATATAATGCAAAAGATGTTGACCACTTTATGTTCTAAGTGGAAAAAAAAAAAGTATTTTTGTCATATACTAACTCTGTTGCATTGCTAAAAAAGTGCCTGTTGATTAAGTAATGCAGTTTATTTGAAACATTTTAAAGCAAACTTGTTAAAATATATATGTGTTTTCAGAAGCAGAGTCATGCTTTCAGACTGCTACATAGTGCTTAGTGGTATAAGTAACATGGTTGTACCTCTTTCCATTTCCCTTCCACAGATTGCTATTTAAGTAGCAAAAGGGCTGAAATGTCTTTCTGAAGGTAGTAACTGACATGATTTAAGGTCAAGAATTTTATCTGAAATTAAGAATTCTGGGGGTTGGTCATATCTTTGCAACTTGCTTTTGCTTTTAGTTTCAGCACTGCAAAAACATATTGCCGGGATTATTGACGCGGTAGGTCTTTATTCTCACTCAGAAATACAAAGGAGTGGCCCACGGAATATTCCACTGCACTGGGTTTAAGGAAGTGTCAGGAATACATTTGCTGTTGATCAGTCAGGTTAATGACTCAGCCCTTCACTGAACAGAAGTGTGATACTTGATACTTTTATAAGACACTGATGTGGAACTTTGACAGCGTTGTGACTTTAGGAATACAGAACGACACAGGCTGCGAAGTAGATCGCATTCAGTATCGGGCACCTGGACTATTGTATTGTTGACTAAATATTTGGATCCTTGCTCATTCAACAGGTATTTTTGCACACCTGCATACCTATATATTTGCATGAGCTACTTGTAAAAGTTTCAATTGTGTTCAAACAGATGTGGGAATTTTTATTGTCAACCTTTTTATAATGATTGTAATCCTATAGACTACTTAAAAAGCACCTTTTGGGGTTGAAAGTTGCTAGCAAATATGTTGCAGAACAAGGGCACTTACTCAGATTATCTCGATATGAGGTCTGTTGCTCTGGTTGTGTTCTGTGTGCTGTGGATATGCTTTTTATAATTAGGTACTTGAACTTCTATTCTTTCGTATTAAATATAGCAAGGCAAATGCATCACTGAGACTCTTGATTTGCAGTATTTGGTGGCACTATGATGTGTTCTTCAGCTCTTCTGATAGGTTTGATTTTTAATTAGATTTGTTAACGCGATTTGTTGAGAGAATCCTTTCTAGGACCATTCGAAATGTGATTTAGTAATGTTTAATTTAAATCATAATAAGATAGCTTTGAGAATATTTATTATACAGTAATTAGTCTCTTCTGCCCATTAAGTCTTCTCTTACTGTCTCAGATAAGATGATTTTAATCTTCTCAAGCAAGTAGATAGAAAGAGTGAGGAAAGTAAACTGCAAAAACTAGGATTCTTAGTTCAGATTCACCTCTTTTATTGCATTGTTAATACAGTAGAAACTGACTGGTCTGCATTGATGTGGAAGATGCAGTAGTGTATCAGGGATCAATAAAATTAATTAACATTAAATCTCACCCGTGGTTGATGATGGTTGTCTTCAGTCCACAGTGAGAATGACAAATCATTGGTAATGCTCCAAAATAAGTATAAGACTTCTAATTGCTGCAGTACCTCCTCCTGCCCTTCTGTGGTACAGGCAATAATCAAGCTGGGACTGCAGATGCAGACGTAGGTGTTCTCAAGCAGGGTTGAGAAATCCTTAGTTCTCACTGTTAACAGCCTGCAAATAGCTGCTCCTTACAATTGCCTCTCTCTGTAAACTGTTTCAGCAGTAGTGGTGCATAAATGTCAAGACTTCCCTTCCATTTGGAAGAAAAACCTTTTGCTTTCCCGTAGACTTTGGGAAGGAGCCTTTGCTTGCACAACCATAGTGTGTAATAGTGATTGAAGTGGTCATGGGATACAGTGCCCCAGATAGAAGACCTATGGCTTTGAACACCCTGGTCATAAAAGCCTCCTTCTGCTTATCTAGGAGGACAGAGACTTCTGGGGATTTTTTGTTTGTTCCTTTTTCCCCCAAAGTGAAGGGCTGACGCCAGTGTAAGGCAATAGGGATGAATTTTTTTTTTTCTTCTTCATTACTGGTATATGTAGAGGTTGGTGCCCAAGGGCTTTGTGGGGTTTGGCAAATAAAGAGTCGTTTTGCTGCCAATTACCAATTGGTGGAAATTTCTGAGCCTATTTTCTCTAATGTAGTAATTGCTTATTCTTCTAAATCTGCTAGGGAGGCAGATCTTTTATGTTCGTTGTACTGTTGGCACAGCTTGAAAGGCAACCATTAAAAGACAAAAAAAAAAAAGGCATTTTGTAAATGGCTATGTTCCTATAAATGTAGCTCTTATGTTTCTCGGTTTTGTTTGGGTGTTTTTTTTTCTGTTCCCTACTCCTTCATATTTTTATCTCTGAGGAAATAAATTTTTTTGGTGCTTTTTGTGAGAATAGATTTAGGTTGTATTTTCTGTTTAATACAGAACTGATGCTGAAATTCAGGTATTTAAAACATGCATGTTTAAAATTTGCATCCTTTTATTAGGGAATATGTTGTTCTGTTAACTTACGCAGTGATTTTGTTTTCCAATAGAACTATTTAATACGTGTAGTAAGAAATGATCATGAAACCAGTGATCTATGAAGAAATCCTTTTAATTTTGAGCAGTACAGCAGAAAGGATGTTCTCAAAATAGTTTTATTTACCCTTCTGACTTCATTAATCTTGACTGTAACAACATCTTGATGATAATAACACAGAGAATAACATCCAAGTTGGATATTTTCCTTGATTATCGTGTACGAAGACAGACAATTATCTAGCTTTTAATTGTAAGATTTTGTAACACTTACAAGGTTTCCTTTTATCTTCACTTTCAATATGGATGCCATAACTTAGGATATCAGTGCTTTGTAGCCTCAAGTACAGAATTTTTTTTTAACGACATTGATGCAAGCTTGACTTTTTACTTTTAAGCTCTTGAGCAACCAACTTTTTTTACCTCCCAAGACTTTTGTGATGGTTTCTATGCAAGGGAAAATATTCCTGTAAAAGTAACTAGGCTTTAACTTTGCAGTGCAGGCTTCTGCTCTTCCAGTCTTTGTGCTTCTGACATTGAGGTTTGCCTAATACGTTTGCTTGACCAAAGTGTTTTCGTTAGTTGGCTGCGTTTTTCCTGGAATCTCTCACTACCCTATTGTGGAGCAAGGACAGTCAGACTGAAACTTCTTCAGTTGGGAAGTTAACCCTTTGTTATCTTGGAAGAGAATGGAGGCTTTCTATCTTGCTAAACAAGCTTCAAACTTCTGTCATTGCAAAGTATAGGGTAGCAACTTAATGATAAATTATCTGCACTAATTGTTTAAAATAACATAAAGTATGGAGGGAGTGAGAAACTCACAAAAAGCCATACAGAACTCTAAAACATGTATTATTTGACACAAAAAAGAAAACTAAATCTTCACTCCAGGAAGACAGTAACTTTTTAAGCTTGTATTGTGTTGCAATTTCATGGATTAATATCCATAACAGGATTGAAAAGGTGGATGAGCCACCTTTTCTATACTCCGTTCCCAAAATAGTGGGGGCGTACCACAATAAGCCTTATTTTAAAAGTTTCTTTTGATGGGCTACAGGTATATTGGTGGCTATCTCTGAAACCAAAAGCTCCCCAATTTTCTGTTAATGAAGTTTTTCATAAGGTGTTCATTAAAAGTAGATGGGTAACTGAAAAAGCAGTTATTACATTTGGAAGTATTCCATCAGACTCATCATGCTCTCCGCTCAGTAATTTTTTATTTTCCAGTGACGGAATTGAAAAATCTTAGCAGAGATGTACTGGAAATACTAAGGAGACCAACTGAAGCTGTTACCATACCCATCATAGAGGGCAGAAACCAAAACAAGGGATGAGCAAGAGACATCTCATTTATTAGTACAACCAATATTCCCCACATTCTTGTTTCAGTCCTTTTGGCACATAGGCTTCTGTCATTCAGGTCTGAAAGTCTCCATTAATATAGCATTTTTACTACAATCTTAATCTAAGTGAGAGCTCACTGTTTAGTACTGAGACAAGTTTTTGGAACAAAAGAATTTGGTTTTCTCAGTTTTCCAGTTTTGTATGCGAAGTCATACTTGGATGAGATTTTTTTTTTAAAAAAAATAATTTTATTGCAATTAACTGGATAGTTTTAGCAAATACCTTTAGTTCAATTCTCTCCTACCTAATGATAATGGAAAGGCTACTTGGTTTTTGACGTATCTTATTCATCAGCAGTACGCTTTTTTTAAGGAACCAGGCACTAGGAGTTAGGTGTACTTTTTTCCTTTTTAAATGTCATTTAGTTGTACTGTTACATCACTATCTGACATCTCATTGCAGGCTGAGAAACAACTGTAATAGAAACTTGCTTCCATGTTAGCAGGCATTATATGTAATTGAAAGCTACTGAAACCAAAAGAAGTCTTTATCGTACATCTCAGGCTCTAACCTAGTATAGCCACTTTCACAAATGTATTGGAAATAGCACAGATTTGAATTTTTGCTACATGCAATTCTGTAAGAACATAGAAAGCTCCAACTTTTTTTCAATTCTAGTTCTGCTGAAATTTAAACCAGCACTTTAAGCTGAAATGTTGCATTAACCTGCAAGTATGAGGGAAAAAAAAAATCCTTAAGCCCTTGCATTCCTCACGTCTCTTAAAAAGACTTATATATAGTTATATGCTGTATACCTGCAGTGGCAGCTGCAAAGGGAGTGATGCTCTGCATTGCAGATCTCACAGAGGTTTGGCATTTTTTGGCAAGGAGTCTTTCTTCTCCTAGCTTTGAGACTTTGAACAGGAGTGATAGTCCCTGCATTCAT